GAAGACGTTTTCAAGCTACTGGACTGGAAAAGATACGGTATTAACATCAATGGCGAGTACATCACTCACCTTCGATTTGCCGACGATATAGTCCTTATGGCAGAATCGCTGGAGGACCTTAGCACTATGCTCAATGACCTCAATGGTGTCTCCCAACGGATAGGTCTTAAGATGAACATGGACAAAATAAAGATCATGTTTAATGTCCATGTCACACCTATGCCGGTAGTTGTTGGGAGCACTATGCTCGAAGTTGTTGACGAGTACGTTTACCTGGATAAATAGTCCGACTAGGTAAGTCCAACTTCGACCGAGAGGTCAATCGACGGATTCAACTCGGCTGGGCAGCGTTCGGGAAATTACGACACATCTTTTCGTCAGGTATACCTCAATCTCTGAAAACTAAAGTGTACAAACAGTGCGTGTTGCCAGTGATGACTTACGGATCTGAGACGTGGTCCTTCACCGCTGGCCGTACGAGGACGCTCAAGGTCGCTCAGCGAGCTATGGAGAGGGCTAGCTCGGAGTTTCACTGCGTGATAGACTCAGAAATGAGGTTATCCGCAGTAAAACCAGAGTGACCGACATAGCTCAACGGATTAGTAAGCTGAAGTGGCAATGGGCCGGCCATATAGCTCGAAGAACCGATAACCGATGGGGAAGAAAGGTTCTCGAGTGGCAGCCTCGTACCGGTAGGCGTAGTGTAGGGCGACCCCCCACTAGATGGAGTGACGACCTGGTAAGACATGCAGGAAGTCGATGGATGCAGGTGGCTCAGGACCGTGCTTTGTGGCATTACTTGGGGGAGGCCTATGTTCAGCAGTTGACTTGTTAAGAGCTGTAATGCTGATGATGATGACTTGGTAAATTATACTTGTCGCAGGCGCTAACTACACTAATTTAAAGAATTGAAATAGTCTTAAACACAGTTCGTCACTGGTTGATTGTATGCTTGTCGCCGACATTCTCCCCCTCGTGCGTCGCACCATCCTCCTGGCTCGGCGATACTCCCGGCACCAGCAGCACTACTCTCGAACTGGGTCTTCTCAGCACACCTCCGCGCGTCTCGACGTCGACGATCCTTGTTCGCCCATCAGGTCCAGGATACACTTGGGAGATTCTGCCGCGTGGCCAGGTGCATCTTGGTAGGCTGTGGTCGACGATCAGCACGATGTCCGCAACTTGCAGGTCTGTGGTGCTGGTTCTTGCCTTCATCTTCCTTGGCAAGAGAGTGGGTAGATATTCTCGCAGCCAACGTTGTCAGAAGTTATCAGCAAGCCGCTGCGTGGCCTTCCATGTGGATCTGCCCACGAGTTCGTTGTCGTCGAAGCTGCCGATTCTCGCTGCGCCGCAGGACCGCCCGATGAGGAAGTGGTTCGGTGTTAGTGCTTCTTCTTCAAGGTTCTCAGAGAGGTGTGTGAGAGGTCGAGAGTTGACTATGTGCTCGGCCTCTAGGAGGAGAGTGTGGAGTACCTCCTCTCGTGGATACCTTTCGTGAAGTGGGGCGTCTAGTGCGGTCTTGACTGATCGCACCCAACGTTCCCATGCGCCACCCATATTTGGCGCACCTGCAGGGATGAATTTCCATTGCACGCCGATCTTCTCTGCTTCTGAGGTGAGGTCTTCTTGCTGCAAGGTGTCGAGCGCTTCCTTTATTTCTTTGTTGGCGCCGACGAAGTTAGTCCCGTTGTCGCTGTAGATTTTCTTAGGCATCCCTCTTCTTGCGGCGAATCGTTGCAGCGCCATGATCATGCTGTCAGTGGAGAGCGAAGGAGTTAGCTCAATGTGCACAGCCCTTGTTGTGAGGCATGTAAATAGAGCCCCCATCTCTTTTCGTGCCGTCTTGCCACGGTGATTGTCATCGGGCCGAAGTAGTCCACGCCCGTGCACGTAAAAGGAGGATATCCGTGCATCAGCCTTTCCGCCGGTAAGTTGCCTGTTGGTATTTCTTGAGGTCTTGCTTTCCTCGTTTTGCACCATTGACATTGATGCTGAACCGCCTTGATTGCTGACCTTAGACCGAGTATCCAGAAGCGTTTTCGTATTTCATTCATCACCGTCGCGTGATTTCCATGATTGAAGCGGCAGTGGAATTCTTCTATGATGAGTTGTGTTGTCTTGTCCTTGCTGTCGAGCACGATGGGTCGTTTGTAGTCCCTGGTCACACCCTGTATCGTGTCGATTCTTCCCTTTAGCCGCAGGGGACCCTCTTCTAGTACTACGTCGAGACTTTTCAATTTACTGCTGCCCTCTAATTGCTTCCCTTGCTGAAGGTGCTTGATGTCTTCTCTGAAACTGTTGTCTTGGCTTCTTTTCCGCAAAAGAGTTTCAGCTTTCTCGAGTAGTTCGGTGTCCATCGGTATATATTTCTTTTCTGTTATTTTTGAAGATCTGTGTTGCTTCTCTACAGTCTTCGTTCCTTTTCTTTGTGTCATTTTCCAGGTGTGATCATTTTTGCAGACGTTGACCGTCTCCCCTTTTCTGCAGAGTTGTAAGAACTGCAGTACTCTCGCTGTGGCTCGCCAAAGCCTCTTCTATGAAGAGAATCTCTCTGGGTCTGGTGATGAAATGTTTGTGTTGTTGCTGCGACGTCCGCTGACCTTTCTTCGCCGGTGGTTGTTTTCTTGAAAGTTCTTGGCGCCGGCCAATGTGCTTCTTCTTTTCTCAGGAAGCTTGGTGAACCATCGGTGAGTGCAGTTGAAGTCTTCTAGCACGTCGCGTGTTGCGTCATCTGCAGGATTCTGCGCTGAAGGCACCCATCTCCAGTCTTGCGGTTTGGTGAGGTCCTCTATCTCCGCTAAGCGATGAGCCACGAACGTCTTGAAGGTTTTCGGGTCTGTTTTTATCCAGGAAAGTACGATGCTGGAGTCTGTCCAAAATGTTTTCTTTGTTACTTTTAGGTCAAATTCTTCTTCAGCTGAATGAGCCAGTCTGCTTCCTAGGAGGGCTGCCTGTAGTTCGAGTCACGGGATGGACATTGGCTTCAGTGGAGTGACTCTCGCCTTTGCTGCCACTAAGCTGACGTGGTAGGTTCCATCTTGCCCTTCTGTCCTCCAATAAACTGCCGCTGCGTACGCCAGCTCGCTCGCATCAACGAAAGTGTGTAGCACCCCCTCGGTGCAATGTGGCGCCAGGCATCTCGGAACTTGCAGGTCTTGGAGTAGCTTCATCTTCTCCAGGTAGGTTTTCCATGCTTCGTACTCCCTTTCTTTTATTTCGTTATCCCAACCGACGCCACTTCGCCATATGTTCTGAAGCAGCTTCTTGCCTTGGATGAGAACTGGTGATGCTAAACCAAGCGGATCAAAGGTCGACATTACTGCGCTGGTAACTTCCCCTCTTCGTAGGCACCTTGAGTCCTCTTGCAATTTCTTCTGGTGTATTTCGGAGGTTTGCCCTGAAGCCGATGGAGTCCTTTTTGGTGAACCAGCGCAGACCAGACAGTCTTCTCTTCCTTCTCGCCTAGGTCCACTTCCGTCTTCTCAATAGAGTCGATCTTCACGTCTTGCAGCAGTTCGGGTTGATTTGACGCCCATCCCCTGAGTTCGTAGCCTGCCTTCTTGTGTATGAAGTCCACCTGCGTCGTCACTATTCTAAAGTCTTCTTTTCAGTGGAAGCTGTGCAGGTAATCGTCCATGTAATGATTTAGCTCGACCACCCTTGTTACCTCTGGATACTGCTCTTTGAAGTCCGCTGCGTTTTGATTCTTCACATAGATTGCGGTGCTCGGAGATGATGTTGCGCCGAAGACAACCGATGTCATCCTGTACTCTTGGAGGCACGTCGCGACGAGCCCCGCGCCACAAAAACCTCAGGCTATCTCTGTCTTCTGGTCGAATGCGAACTTGAAGAAACATTTCTCTGATACCGGCTGCCAAAGCTAGCGGGCCCTGTCGAAACCTTAGTAGTATCCCGAAGAGCGACTGTAGTAGATCTGGTCCTGGCAGTAGAGCATCGTTGAGGCTTCTTCCCTTTGAATTGGCTGCAGCGTCGAAGACGATCCTTATCTTTTTATTCAGTGGATGTACTACGGAGAAGTGAGGGAGGTACCATTTCTTCTTGGAGTCCTTTTGTGTTATAGGTGCTTCTTCTGCATACTTGCCGTCGATAAGATGCTGGATCTGCTTGATATATTCTGCCTTCAGCTGAGGGTCCTTATCCATCTTCTTTTCAATATTGAACAACCGGTTCTTTGCAGATGAGTAGCTCTCAAGCATCTGTTCATCTTCATTTTTCCATAAGAGTCCAGCTTCGAATCGTCCATCTTCAAGTCTTCTGCAGGTTTTCTCTAGGATGGCGAGTGCTCTTCCCTCTGAGTTTGTGGTAGTCTTCGTGGCTGCACACCAAGCGCCTCGATTGCAATGTGGTCCTTAATGGCTTGATGCATCTCCTCATCTGGTGTGCTGACATGTAGACACGTGTTCATGAAGTGTACTACTCTTACAGCCCCGGTGTCTGATCCGTGAAGCACCCATCCAAGCCCTGTTCTTGAAGCAACTGGTTCTCCTGGTTTCCCTTTCCTTACTTCTTGAGTCACTATCAGCTCCCAGTTGTCTTGACCGATGAGCAGCTGTGGTGATTCCCCTTTATAATAAAGAGAGTCGGCGATCTTTTTTCAAATGTTGGCATTCTTCTATCCTTTTCTTCTCTAGGAACTGTGGTGCAAGCTTCAGCTCGTTGATAGTTCGGACTCTCCTCAAGGTCTTCGTGCTTCCTTGATGAACCCCCTTCACTACAAGGTCCTGCGTCTGAGAATCCTTCTTCTTGATTTGCCTGCCTCCTACTATCTCTTTGTTGCCTTGAGCGCCGACTTCTTCTGCCACCTTTGTATCAATAAGCGACACTGTCGACCCTTCATTCATGAGGGCCAATATTCTTTTGGATCCTTTTGGCCCGAAGACTTCTACTGGAACTATCGTCAGGTATGCCCTTGCGTTGTTGACTGCATTTACTGATGTCATGACGCTTGCTACTTCTTCTTGTGTTTCCGCCTTCTTCTCTCACGAGGTCCTATTTTCTGATTTGACGTGCAGCAAATGATGATACCACCTCTTGCATTCCTTACATGGTGGTTTCTTGCAGCTCTCCTTTCGATGTATTCCTTGAAGACATTTGAAGCAAACCAGACTGCACACGCTTAAGTCGACGAGGAAGTGTCCACCTTGGCACATTGGCCAAGTCTTTTCTGTTGACTGTCTTGTATCTTTTTCTTTAACCTCCTTTTCCCTCGTAGAATGCGTCGCTTGTCGATGAGTTCTTCTGAACCCGCTCTTCAGGAGGCTCCACACTTCGCGGTTCAGGAACTTGGAGACCATCGTCAGGTCGGAGAACTCGCCCTCTTCTGTTACTGCCGTAAAGTCATACCATCGGAACTTCAGGATTGTAGGCATTACTGTGGTTTCTTCAAACCCCTTATTGCTGCTACGCTGTTGTTGATTTGGCTCGCAAAGACGCATATATCTCTAGGATTTTCAGAAATCTTCGGTAATGCCCTGACTTTATCCAATTCAGCCAGCACCAATGCATCAGGTCTTCCATATCGTCTCTTGAGGGCCTGCATTACTTCCAGTGGAGAGGCTTCGGAGTACAGCAGGCTCTTGATGGCTTCTCTTGCGTTGCCCTTTAGTGCTCTTCTTAGTCTAGCCATGTTTTGAACTGCGTTGAACATCGGGGCGGTACCTTCGTAGACCACCTTGAAGGCCAACCATTCGCTGCTGTTGCCGTCGAAGTAGGGTAGCTCGTAGATATACTTCGGCTGAGCTACTGGTCCTCCTCGTGTGGTAAGGGCTTCCTTCAATGCTATCGTCAGCGCTTGAATTTCGCTCGTATCTTTTTACGTTGAGGAGTTCTCTTCAGGCTTTACATTTGGCTCTTCCGGAGGGTGCTGACCTCGTTGCTCGTGTTTTTCCATGTCGTTTTCTTCCATTACTGATGTCTCGATCAAGTTCTGCACCTGTGCTGTTCTGTCTTCCTGGTCTTCATCCACGGAGTCCTCCTCTTCACATTGTGCTAGCTCTAATCTGACGCGTGCTAGCTTCGCCGCAGCTTGAGTTTGCTTTAGCTCCATGGGTGCTAATTCTTCTCTGGCTTCCAGCTCCCGTCTCCTGGCTGAGGAGCTCGTGGTCTTCATAGACCTGGCGCGACGACTGACCCCCTTCGGCTTAGGGGTTGTGGCAGAGCCATGAACGCCCTTGTCTGGAATATCCTCTGGAGTCTTCTTGGTCGTCTCCTTCTGTGCGGTTTCATCCTTCGGTCCGTTATCCTCGGATGCCGCCGTGGTGGCAGTTGCAACTGTGGTCTCTGTCGTTGTGGTATCCTCTGTGGTCATAGTGCCTGAAGAATCTGACGTAGTTGCTGTTCCTGATGATGCTGACGCTGACGCAGACGTGACCCCTTCTGATTCTGACATTTCACCTGTCGCGTCCTTATCTGAGGGACGGAACCCGGGACGTGAGGGGGCACCCTTCTGTGACCTGGTAACCGGCATGTTGAACAGATTCTTCTATATACTTCTAGCAGGGATCCGGATTTCGAAGGACCAACTGTTTCGGACGGCAGGGACACGTCCAGTGCCCGCAGTCGCCCTGGGACAATCTCCCACTTTATGACGTACGTTCCTTGCCTAGTGCTGGTGACGCACGTCCCACGCACCCCTGAATGCGTATGTATAATACGACCCTACTAGGACCCCGAGAGAGAGAGAGAGAGAGAGAGAGAGAGAGAGAGAGAGAGAGATAGACGATCAGCCACCAGTTTTCAAGCGTTAAACAAAACTAAATTTTTTTATAAGTATTTACAATACAAATTCTTGCTTAAAAAATTCCTTACAAAATTATTATTAAAGGCTAACCTTTCAATTTTGTGATTATATTTAAATTATATTCTCTTACTCTTATTGAGTTTATACGCTAATTACACTAATTGTGAAATTATAATAGTCTTAAAATAAAGTTCGTCAAATGGTAAATTATACTTGTCGCAGGCGCTAACTACACTAATTTAAAGAATTGAAATAGTCTTAAAACACAGTTCGTCACTGGTTGATTGTATGCTTGTCGCCGGCAGTTATGCTTATGAAGTGTGCCTATGAGATTCGTAAGCTCATACAGCAATTTTTAATAGAATAAGTGTGACAAACGAGCACACGGTACACCTGATGGTAAGTGGATGCTGTGGCCCATAGACTTCTAGATTTATCCTCGATTAAGAATCAAAAAGCAGACGCGTTGTCACCACTGAGGACTAAGATGGAACGCCTCGTTTTCAGTAAACAAGGGTTTCCGGACCTCTACACCCATCATACGAAACAGCAATATTAAGCTGCTATTTTACACTGGTATTCAGTAAGAGCGTGGTCCTTCTCCGGTCGAGCCGCCCCATTCGTGTTACAACTGGCTCTTTCACGTATAATGCATCTCAATCCGCTTGGTCTCCAACAACTGGTTGACATTTCGAATATTCGAAGCATGAACGAAGCAAGCGATAAACCATATTTTACAATGCGCACAGCCAAGGAGTGGAAGACCCTGCTAGCGCCTGTTTTTCCGAGTACCTATAACCTGGACATCTTCGGGGTTAACAGGCTTCTCCTGGGCAAACTCGCTCAATCGTAGGCCTCATCTTTGCCCCAGGCCAGATGGAGGTCAGGAGTGAGCGCATTTATTAATTGAAAAAAATATTATTTATATTAATATATTAATTCCAATTGCGATATCTCTCCGTCAAACACTGCGTCACCGAGTTTCACTGACATTATCTTGATTGTTGACAGTATATCACCCTGCACTACATTCAGGTATAAACTGTCACCATTAGTTTCATCGGAATGATACAACTCAGAGACCATTAAAAAAGCCTACTCCTTTTTAAAGGACTGGAAACCAACCCAATACTAGGTATTGCAGGTGTTCATAAGCGATGGTAGTCACTTTATCAGGTAGTAGTTGTTTTGTATAGTAACATTAAAACGAAAAAATACTTTATTTAATCAAACTATGTATCCAAACTGTTAACACGTTCTTGCTTTTAAATCTACCAAGTATGTCAGGTGTAAGTATAGGTGTCATCTCTGAGATTTTTTTCAAACGCCTAATGTAACTCGTTCACTCAGACACTTTTCTTCAAATGCCTAAAGTAACTCGTTCACTCGGACAGTTTTCTTCAAACACCTAATGTAACTCGTTCACTCAGACACTTTTCTTCAAATGCCTAAAGTAACTTGTTCACTCAGACACTTTTCTTCAAACGCCTAATGTAACTCGTTCACTGAGACACTTTTCTTCAAACGCCTAATGTAACTCGTTCACTCGGACACTTCTTCAAACTCCTAATGTAATTCGTTCACTCAGAAACTTTTCTATGTATAAGTATGCACTTTTTATACGTGTAGGTGATCCATACATCTTTGGCACTACTTTCCGTCAAAGTCAAAGTCAAAGTCAAAGTCAAAATCTTTATTTTACAGAATAAAATGTTTAGGTAATACAGGTATTTAGTATAAGAGTGTCTCAATAATATTCTACCGGGAGTTGTACCGGTGTGCAAATATATCTTAAAATAATCAAATTTAATTGTACATATATGTCAAAAGTTTAAATAAATTATATAATACATTAAATAATATTTCAATTAATTAAAATATTCCTTAACACTATAATAACACTTGTCAAGAAGCCATTTATTAATCTCAATTTTGAATTTATTCAAAGGCGTTTAAGTTATTGGGCAATTTATTATATATTGAATAAAACTATTATTTACGGATTTTATCGCGTTTAATTACTTTAATTTATTTTTATTATTATCCCGACGTTTCGGGTGCTTTACAGCGCCCATGGTCACGGGGGGGACTGAGATGTTTGACGTCCCAATGTCATAGTTAGTCCGGCTACCTTCAGTTTTTTAATATTAATTTTTGGTCCGATTTACGCAAAACGAGCTTATAGTATCTTGAAGTCTTGCAGTGGTATGCTTGGGTTTGGGTTTAATTTTGTTAATTATAGGATCCCAAGCAGATGGTAGCACCCAACCATCTTCTCTATTGAAATTTGGATGTTTTTTAATTTCAATAGCCTCGCGTATCATCCTTGGTACGAATCGGTGTTCTTTTGCGAGAATTTGTGGTTTATCAAATCTAATATAATCGTGCGGACGATCTTGAACATGTTCGCAGACTGCGAACATGTTCAAGATCACCGATTCCTACCAAGGATGATACGCGAGGCTATTGAAATTAAAAAACATCCAAATTTCAATAGAGAAGATGGTGGTATAATTAACAAAATTAAACCCAAACCCAAACGGACCAAAAATTAATATTAAAAAACTGAAGGTAGCCGGACTAACTATGACATTGGGACGTCAAACATCTCAGTCCCCCCCGTGACCATGGGCGCTGTAAAGCACCCGAAACGTCGGGATAATAATAAAAATAAATTAAAGTAATTAAACGCGATAAAATCCGTAAATAATAGTTTTATTCAATGTGTAGTGTTCGCGTAAATTTAAGAAATCATAATTTATTATATATTTTAATGGCCATTATAGGAGCACTGTTTGCATAAAATCTAGAGCTTCATTTGGGATGAAATATAAAAATATTTTTATGCCTTGTTTGCCTTTCGAGAGATTCAACGTGGGTTTTGAAGTAGTTCGGGTGTCGCTTTACAAAAATAGGTATTTCTCGAATACACATGCATGGCAACGGCAATATGCGTATCTTTTTGAACGTCACCGGTCTGAATATTTTATAAATCTGTATAATCTGTCCTAAACTAGGTAGCTTACCTAGCTAACATGTATGGGAGACCATGAGATTACTACCATTTTGCTCCCTTCCTTTGACAGATATGGAATGATAAATGTGCTTAGGCGCGACAAGGTGAAAAAAGAAATTTTTATATCTGCGTACGATGTCTTCTGCATAAGCAACTTAGGCCCTGCAGGTCTCTGGCCTCGGGGTATGCCCCATTGCCCGGATTATCCTCACGGCCCACTACTATATGCCGGTCCTGGGAGCCGTTATGGTATTTTAGATTTAATTGGGGGTCTAGTTACAATGGTGGTCAATCTTTACATTGAGGCTGCTCCCTAATCTATGTAGGAAGGAGTTCTCTTAGATACGGTCACCCGTCCGGGGGCCGAGTGTGTAGCAGCGCTAGGTGTTAAGTGTGGGTGTGGCCCGTTGTCGGGGCGGTTGAACAGGCTTTGTGCCAGCCGGACCACAAATTCTTCAACAGTATCGATCTTGAGATTGGCCGCTATAAACGTCGTTCCGACCGACGTAGCGACCTGCTCCGACAATGGTTCGTGATGCCTGCAGTCGTCGCCTCTGTGGATCGCTCAGAAGTGTGTACCAGGCCGGAGCAGCGTAGGTTATTAGCAGTCTGACGTATAGTTTATATATTTTGGTTTTCGTCTTTATTGGTAACTTGGATGCCAGGACTGGACGAAGCATCGCCCGCGCACATCTGGCTTTGCGTCATGCGCAGCATCCTGTCGATCCAGCACCCGAGATAGGTTTACGTCTGCAAGATTTTATATGGTACATTTATATTTTAGACTGTATGTTATAGAGGCACGCTGCAACTATATGTACTATGTTACTATATTTTTGACCATTTTCTGTGGAAACATGAATATCACTTGATGTAATAACTGGAATGTCTGTTGTTGTTGTGAATGTTACAATAAAAACTTCATCTCCTACTTTTCCACTATAGCGATGAAATTAGGTTTTGAAATGTATATGGGAAACCTATTTAATAAAAGTAACCACGCTCTCACAGAATACCAGCGTAAAATAGCAGCCTAAATCTACAGTGTTTCGTATGGTTAGTGTAGAACCAGAGACCTTTTTACTGGATACGAGGCATTTCACATTTTTCACACGAATGTATGCATGAATGAAACAGCTGGGATATAATAATTATCCAGATCAACCTACGCATAACTTGTTAACGAGCTAAACTTGTTTGAGCCTATTGACAGAGGCCGGATGCACTTCCCACCTTCTCACTGCGGTTATCATCTCACTAAACTAGCAGTTCAAGTAAATGAAATTAAAAGTCGAGCATTAGGCCCCTGAATTCTGACCCACTATTTGACAATTTTTTTATACGTGGTAGAGCCACGCTGCAGTTATATTATGGTTGAGCACGACTGGGTCGGCTTGACCGGGAAGCTCCACGCTCTCACGGAATACCGGGATAAAATAGCAGCTTAATATTGCTGTGTTTCGTATGGTGAGTGTAGAGATCCGGGGACCCTCTTTACTGGAAACGAGGCATTCCCTCTTAGTCCTCACGGGTGTCAACGCATCTGTTTTGATTTTTAATCGAGGATAAATGTGGATGTCTTTGGGCTACAGCATCTACTTACTCTTAGGTGGACTCTGACTGTCTATAAAATAAAATAAAAAATACTAGCTTTTACCCGTGACTTCGTACGCACAGAACTTAAACAAAAAACTGCAGAACTATAACAGTG